TGTGCTCATTGATGAGTGAAAGTCGCCACACATGTCAAGCTAAAGGCAGTTGTTGGGTTACTAACAGGACACAACGTCTTGCAAACATATGCGTTAAGCTGTGTATACAGATGGCAGGGAGAATAATGGAGCAGGCGCCTCTTATAAAGCTCTAGCTGCTGCCTGTCTTCAGACCTGGGAAAAGCAACTATTCAGACTCAGGGCCAGATAGCGCCTGGGATTGTTTGTTACCGTTTTAATCCTATTAATTAAAACGTTAACCTGATTGGGTAGAAAGCTCTGTCCCAACAGGCGAGTCTTCTTCATAATAACCTACTCTCAGAGATAATGATGTAAAAGACTCCCCCGTCTGCGGCGGCTGCTGGTTGATGGGTCCGGAAATCTCTTGAAGGTGAATCCAAGCAAGATAAACGGTGGAAGCGGCTCCACTGCCAGCGCACAATGCCCCAGCGCGGCGCCTGCTGAGGGCGAGCCGGAGCCGGAGCTGCAGCCGGAGCAGGAGCCACAGCCAAAGGCACAGCCACAGCCGCCGCCAGAGCCGGAATCGCCAGAGCCACAGCCCGAGCCGCCGCCGGAGCAGGGGCAGCAGCGGCGACAGGCACAGCGCAGCCCCGGCGGGAGCCGGGAAGCGATTTCTGCCAGCGGGACGCCGGGGAGCCGCCCGCCGCGGCGCGGAGCCTTGGAGGAGCGGGCCGGGAGCTGAGGGGGGCGGAGGAGGCGGAGGCGAGCGGGGCGCCGATGGAGCGGGCGCTGGGGCTGCCCGCAGAAGAGGACCTCTTCCACAAGAGCCTCGCTGCCTCGGCCAAGCGCATGGAGTCTGCTTTCCGCTCGCCCCCAGGGCTCGACCTCTCTCACCCCCGCGACCGCCAGCCCTCGCCGCTCGCCTGCTACGAGGCGGCGGAGCCCGAGGCGCTGCTGCAACCCGGCGTCGGCGGCGACCCGCTGGCGCTGCCGCCGGGCTCCGTCTGCGTCAAGTACGGCGAGAGCGCCAGCCGCAGCTCGGTGGCCGAGAGCAGCGGCGGCGAGCAGAGCCCCGACGACGACAGCGACGGCCGCTGCGAGCTGGTGCTGCGCGGCGCCGGGGGGGACCCGCGCGTCGCCTCGCCGGCGGCAGGCGGCGGCGGTGGCGGCGGGGGGGGCGGGGGGCTGAAGGCGGCCGAGGGCGGCTGCTCCAACAGCCACGGGCACGGCGGCAGCAAGAAGTCCAAGGAGCAGAAGGCGCTGCGCCTCAACATCAACGCGCGGGAGCGGCGGCGGATGCACGACCTGAACGACGCTCTGGACGAGCTGCGGGCGGTCATCCCCTACGCGCACAGCCCCTCTGTGCGGAAGCTCTCCAAGATCGCCACGCTCCTCCTGGCCAAGAACTACATCCTGATGCAGGCGCAGGCCCTGGAGGAGATGCGGCGCCTGGTGGCTTATCTCAACCAGGGCCAGGCCATCTCGGCCGCCTCCCTGCCCAGCTCCGCTGCGGCGGCTGCTGCGGCGGCGGCGGCGCTGCACCCCGCCCTCGGCGCCTACGAGCAGGCGGCCGGGTATCCCTTCAGCGCCGGGCTGCCCCCCGCTACCTCCTGCCCGGAGAAATGTGCCATTTTCAACAGCGTCTCCTCCAGCCTCTGCAAACAGTGCACGGAGAAGCCTTAAGGGCCGCTGTCGTTGCCGCCCCCCGCCACAGCCCCGGGGAGCGGCGACAGCCGGTGTCTCGGCCCCGGTCCCGGGCTGGAGGTCGCGGGGGCTGCGGAGGGACTGACCGCCGCTCGGTCCCCCCCGCCCTCCGCCCGGCCTCTCTTCGCCTCGCTCTTCTCTTTCGGTCTTGCCGGAACGGGACGTCCCCGGGAGCCAGCGTGCGTGTGGCCGTGGGGCGGGGGGCCGGGGGTGCCCCGGCCTGGGGGGCGCGGGGGATGGGGTGTTCGCTCCGTCGGAGAGCCCGCTGAGCGGCCGGACAAAAGAAAGGCCGGGAAGAAGCGTCAGTCTGTGCCGGGAGCCGGAGTAGCACCGGGGAGAGGGCTGGAGAGCATCCCTCATCCCGGTCTGGCGGCCCCTGGGAGGGGAAGGAGTCGCGACGGCCCGGGCGCGGAGGTGGATGGGACAAATCAGAGAGGGCACTTGAACATAGATTTTTTTTTTTAATTATTATTATTATTAGCAGTATTATTATTATTCTAAGCCAGGAAACAAACAAACTTGAAATGTAAACTTATTTAAGCGACTCGCAGAAACAAAGACCATTGCTATGGAAGACTTTGTATTTTTTATCGTTTCTGAACTTTGATCCTGTGAAAATGCGCAAAGTTTGGTGAGAGTGATTTAAAAAAAAATAAATTAAGAGAGTTAAAAAAAAATCAAAAGCCTACTCCGTGTGGCTGAAAGTATCGCATTTTTAAAAGAAATATTTATGTGCACCTTGTTTCTTTCCACTTTGCAATGATGTATAAACAAGACATGCTATTTATTTGTTATTCTTTAAATGACCCTTCCACACCAACAATGTTTATCATGTGTTAAGGTCACGGGTCTTATGTGCAGTTACTTTAAATGCTTCTGAAATTCTGTTTATGGATTAACTTAAACTGTGTGCCAAGTGTTTAAAACGTTTATTTGCCAACAACGTATAACCAGAAATGTTGATGTATCCGAGCTGCTTAGGCTTATGAAAGGTCATCTGGATTTTAAGTTGCATCATCCCTGTATTTAAATTGAGCTTTAATAAATTGCTTCAGTCCAAAAATTACAGGAAAGGTGTATTCTTAATTGCTCAAGCAACTAATTTTGAGAGGGTATTCTTTGCATTAGAGCAGGTAATAGCTATTTACTTTTACAAGGCATCAGACCAATAGCTGCTACAAGAGCACTTGCCAAGCCGGTGTTTTCCCAGGCGCTGTGTTTTCAAAGGTATCATTTAAACCGCTTTTAATGTGTATGTAAATTATTCTGACTGTGGATGATTATTTAAGTTTAAATACTTTAAAATACTTTCGGCTGATTTACGGAACGCGTGGAATTCTTCTCTTTTATTTATGGGGCCTGGGGGGGGGGGGGGGGGGTGTGGATTTTGGGGGAAGGAAAATGAGAGATGAAAAGCAAGAAGTAGCTGTTCACCCAAAGTGAGCCTTCAGTTTGAGTTTGCATGGCTGGGTGGCTGTCTCTCTGCCATTTGTAAATCAAGATTTTTTTTTTTTTTCTTTTTTTTCTTTTTTTTTTTTTCCCTTTTCAAAAATGAGTCCTGCTGTTTTCCACTACTTGCAGATAATACAAATTCGGACTGTCAGGTTGGATGGCAAAATAGGAGCCATGATGGATCTGTTGGCAGGTCACGGATGTGTAAAGAGTGATATATATTAAATAGGTCAGATTATGACAGCAATGTATGATCGTTTGTATGTGTATCTATGTCGGAAAGAATCTTTATTAAAATATTTTGAACAAACGCTTTTGTTGTGTTGTGCTTTGTTAAGCGTGTGTCTCCAGATTTAAGGAGGTGGGTGGGGGGATAGTTTCCTTTACCCTGCTCTGAGGGCGCCACGGTACCCCCTCGGCACCCCACTCCCAGCTCAGGGTATCCCAAAGAGGGGAGGGGAGAAAGGTCTTCTCTGTGGTGCCTTTCTACCGTGATGCTGGGTGTGCTCCCGGGTGAGCTACAGGACTCCCCTCCCCCGTCTCCTCCCTACCCTCAAGTTTTGGAGCCACCCGTCCCCTCGTGTCGCCTCCGACCTGCCGCAGATCCGAGGTCAGAGGAGCAGGCAGCTTACCAGAGCTGCCAGCCCTGCGCTGGGCCCGGCCCAGGGGCCCCGATCCCGCAGGGGTCCCCCCTCCCCTCGGGAGGCCCAGGTCGGCGGCGGGGGTCCACGGAGCCGCCTCTCCTAACGGCAGCACCAGAAGCGGAGGAAGGGGATAAATCTTTTCTGCTCCACTTCCCATCAAAAAAGATTAATCAGAACCTGTAACTTTTCAGGAAACATAACTGTAAAGTGCCACGGAGCTGTGGGAAGGCAGCCCAGAGAGGGTGGGCAGATCAGCCTCCAGGCGCAAGGAGAAGCGTCTCTCAGCATTTACTAGACAAAGGCTGGGTGCGTCTAATTATGATTATTAAAACAATTTCCATGACGATGTCTAATATTATGTTAATTTGAAAACAACTGTGTATGAAAACTGTCGACTATAATACCTAAATTCATTTAATGAAACACATCGTTAAGGCAATTAAACCTCCTGGATGTGATTAAGGAACATAATTACGACACTGTTCTGCGCCATAATTGGGTGTCTTTAATCAAGGGGTAAAGTGATCAGCAACACAGCCATTAGTTTGTATTGTTCTGTCTCTGCTGTCCATCATTCTGATTAGGAATTAACCACCGCCACCAGCTTGGCGTGGTGCGTGCCTGTGTGTGTGTCTGAGTGTGTGTTCGTGCATCTAACATCGAGGGACACGTTTGCTGCGATATTTACCGCTTAATATTACCGCCTACCGAGAGGGCTTCCCGGAGGGGCTCCCCGGGAAGGCGTGGGACGGGAGAAGCAGGCAAAGTCCCAGCAAACTCCTGGGGAGGCCAGGACCCGGGCTGGAAAGGAGGGTGAGAGGGCCCGGGGCGCGGGGCGGCTCTGCCTCCTGGTCACTGATGAAGGGCCTAGGTGTAGGCCGGGCAGAGCGTGGGCTGCGGGGCCGCCTGTGACACATGTAACGGCTCCTCTACTCCCCTCTCCCTCGCCTGTCACTGCTTTGGAGCGGGAAAGCGGAATGAAACGCTCTTCATTCCCTGCTGCCGCCCGACTTCGGGCTCTCTCGCTTCCTCCTTTCACGCTGCAGAGGGGGGAAGGGGTGTCTGGCAGGGAGGGGTGCTGCCTGTACCCCCATCCCTCTGCAATCAACAGGCTCGCCGGGGAGCGACGAGAAGCCGCGGGACCAGTCCCTGGGCAGGTCTGGCCAACGTGAGCGCCGTGTGTGTGCCGGGGGTGGGGGGAGGAGAGAGGCCCCCCCGCCCCTCTTAACGCTTGATGGATCGCTTAGCCGGAACAGAACGTGTCCCCCCCCTTCCAAGGAGCTTCTTCCCCGTTTCCCAGAGCCCCACAGCCGCTGTCTCGCCCCCAGCCTCCTCCGAGGGCTCCCTCTGCCCCCCGCCGCTCAGCCCGGCTCCTTCTCGGCCCCGTACCCGGTCTCGGAGCCTGAAATTGTCCCAGCATGAGTGACATTGGCTTTCCTAATGTAATGACTTATGAAAGATATAATCATGTGTTAAATTGAATCCTCCGCTTAACTGTTAATGGTGTGCTCTGGGCACATTTACGTATTAGATGCTATGGTAACTAATTACCACTAGAAGAAGGGATAATACACTTTCCAGACTTTGACAAATAATTATGAGTGTTCACATCCCTGCTAGCAGCAGTTGCAGCGGATCTGCTGGAATGAGTAAGTGAATAAATGAATGGGTAAGTGAACTTGTGTGCATGGAGGGGACTAGATAATGAATAGTGGTCAAGTGAGTTTTCTTATTAAAACCTTTAATGAAAATGTGATTTAGAGTGGAAGGGGGGGAGGGGGGGAAATGCGACTCTGCCTCTAAACGTAATTAAATCGCGTAATATAAACATCAGAAACATAAATAAGTTTGCTTTTAATTAAAACGCAGCAGACAAAGTAAATTATCCACGTGTTCGGAAACTTTACAGCAATTAACACCTTCTTTTTTGGTGGTGGTAGTGCCGGAGGGGGGTAAGTTGGGGGCTAAAATAAAGGAGTCAGATCTCGGCCACTTTTCTCCGGGATCATTTGCAACTTTGATCGCACCCGCTGCCAACAGGCCAGAGGGATCCTAAGGCTTCAGTAAGGGTGGAACAGCTCCTTGGCTGGGCGGGACAAAACTTTGGGGAACTGGTTGTGGGCCCCGGTCCCTGTCACAGCCACCCACTCCGCGGGGCTGCTCGACGAGGCTGGGCCCCCGCCCGGTGGACTACCGTCGAAGGGTTAGTGCTGGCTCCCTGAGAAGTACCACGCTTGGCTCAGGCGGCGCAGCAGGGGTTAAGCCGGTCCTGCACGCCGGCCAGGTGCCCTCCCGGTCCTGGCGGGGGTGAAGGCAAGAGCCACGGCAGGGAGCAGGGCCCAGCGCGGCGGCCCCGGCGCCCCGGCCTGACTCGGGGAGCCCCGGCAGCCGGCTATGCCACGGAAGGAACAGCTGCTAAATGAGCAAAGAGAGGGAGCCAGCCTCATTTCCCCGTGGTCACTCATCAGATCGGTGTCAGACCCCTCCCCAAGAGCTCCGGAGGGAGTTTGCGCTGCTCTGGTCGGCTCTCCACCTCGGGAAGGGTTAAATCCTCCCCTAAGCCCCTAGTTGCCCTTGTCCTCTCAATCTGATTCAGAGACGTGTAATAAAATATGAAGCAAATTTATGGTCTGTTTCAAGCACTTTACTGCTGTATTTTTAAATTCATATATGCACATATAAGAACTATGATCTGTGAATAATTTGAAACGCTATAGGAAAACGATGCATTTTAGATCAAACATAGCCGTTTTCTTACATAATTGTCTCAGATTAAAATAAAAAGATACATTTCGAACAGAGACAAAGCTGAAAATCTAATGACAGCCATAAACTGCTAGACAGCCATAAATTAACGTCTTCATCAAACGCTGAAGGGATCAGTGCTTATCTAAATCAACAATTATTTTTTCCGAGAAGTTGCAGAACAGATTGCTCTTCTAATACTATTTTGAAATCCTCGTAATTGAGGATTAAGGGCAAACAATCGCCTTTCCGGAGTAAACCTCCTCTCCACCAGCCGAAGCCCTCCAAACTCCCATAACACCCAGACCTCTTCCCTAGGAACCTCCCCGGGAGTCCTCTTACGCTTTTCCCCACTCCAGCATTCCTCGAAGAAGGGGTTGCTTTTAGGAAGGGGCGGCAGGAGTATCTCCTCACCCCTGCAGGGGGTCGGAGAACCGGAGCCCGGCGGGTTGACGGAGCGATCGGGGGGGTCGCGGTCCCGCCTCGGGCCAGTGACACTCCTAGACGAGATCCCGGAGCGGAGCCCTCCAGAAGCTGCGGTATGCCGTGCTTCAATCCGGTCCTCAGCAGTCCCCAGCCCAACTAATACCCGTCCAGTTTTCAGGTTCAAAGCTTTAGCGGCACTACTCCCAGCTGTAGCTACCTGCGATGCCGATTTTGCGAGGGGCTGCTGTAAAGATTTCATGTTTAGAAGTCATCTGAAAATCACATTGAGCAGAAAGCCGATGTACTGGCTCACGGGGTGGAAATCAGACAGGGAAAGCCTTGCTGCTTGTAGGAGTTTGCGGCTAAAATGTTTGGAAGAAAGAGGTAGTTGGAAGGATGAGCTGGTAGGAAAGAAGTCACTGTCAAAAGTCATCCCGTGGTGTTTACTTACTGTCTTTCACTCTCCCTGTAGCCAGAACCTCGACTCTTATTCAACTTCGCTGTACTCATAGCTGCTGCTTAGGGGGAAACAAATACAAACCAACACATCAGTGTCAAAATCGGTTTAACAAAGTCTTGCAAGATAGAATCCTGCAAGGCTCCTAGCAGGAGCAGCTGAAGCTTAGGCTTCTTTTTCGTTACTTGTTTTGGTGTAAACAGTTTTGAAAACAAGCACATTTCTGCTATTACAAATGATGTATTCACACAGAATCAGCGCCTGATGCACAGGACAGGCTACACAGACACAGTACTGGTTTATATGAGGATAAAGATCCCACTACAGTTTAATTCTTTGCTTTCAAATGAAAATGCTGCATTTTCTTTTCTTGTTTTTTTTTTTTTTTTGTGCTTCTATATATGCAGCAATTATTTCTTCATACTTATTACTGTTTATAAACATATAAAAGAACTTAAGGATAACAATACTTTCACACACGTAGTTTTAAAGGGTGTTTTTGTAATGAGATAATTTTTCTGCTATGTTGTGGGTATCAGGACGTGGCTAGCTAGGGTACAAAGGCTTGTTTAGGCAATAGGAGGGAAAACACTTCCTATGGTGTGACAGTTAAAATAACTATTCATATGAATTAATCATATGTCATGCATAAATTGATGTCTGAGTAATTTTAAAATACAATGCGATATAAGTAACATCAAGAAAGAACTTTGTATGAACCCAAGTATTATACAGTGTTAGGAGGTCTTATTAATCCCCCCTGCCCAAGCCATCTTTCAGACCATCACAGAAAGCTCAGTCAGAAATGTGCCCTTCAAGAAATCTCAAAAAATGCCACTTTTTGTTTGTAAACTTCACTAACTTCTACTATAATCTGGAGTTAAAGCAATTGCATAGTTACAAACACATTCATCAAACCCAGAAAACTGCTGCAAGGTCTACCTTCTCTAGGGACACACCTTCAACCCTCACAGCCATACCTGACAAGCATTTCTGCATGAGCTAATGAAGAAACACTGATGTCTTTGGGGCACAACCTTCATATTAAATACCTACTTGTAGAACTCCGTAGCTACAGTGATACTTAGAAAAGCTGTGCTTTGCTGGCACAGTGCTGTGTATTGTAACAATTTTCATTCATTTCCCCTTTTAAAATGAATGATCTGAGAGGACAGAATGTTTTACACCAGGTAGTACATCTTGTACTATGCAGAGGTTTGCAAAAGGAAAAGCCTAGGAGCTGTATTTGGGAATCACTAGTGGATTGCAGATCTTTATACTAATTTTAAATAATGTCCTAGGAATGCCAGCAGTACCACTCCTTTTTCTTATCTGGTAAGAAGTGGCCTAAGTTTGATGGGAGAGTAAAACAGATTTAATAATTTCCTAAATTCAAGGAAGTTCCTCCATGCCAGTGCTGAATTAGAGTTTGGTTTGTTTTTTTGTTTTTTTTTATTTGTTGAAATACCTTTCAAGATCAAGTTACAGAAAAATGTGGTATGCTGAATAAATACTTTAAAAATTAAAGCAATAGTTGTGAATCTGTGAGAAAAGCGTAAATGTGAGGGAAAAAATACCATAGGCAGTCATTCAATATTAAAATATATATATTCATTTTTATTGTGTCCTTAAAATACAAAATTCATTTAAGATGTTAGATTACTAAAATAATGAAATTTTAATTTTCTTGCTCAGAAATTCACAATAGACCTTATGCGATCTAAGAGCCTTAATGGTGGATATTAACTATTAAAGTAGAACCTAACCATTGTTCATCTATATACAGAATGTCAGTTTGCACAATTAAGAGCAATTCACAATCTTTTGAATGTCAGATAGTTCAACAATGAGGAAATAAAAGATCATTTATAATTCTACAAGAGAAATTCACAGTAATTATTCATAAAAACAGCAACACCCACCGACATGCAACTGGCTTAGAAGCATAAACTCAAGAACAACTATTACACAGTTTTGTATTAGCACATTAGGACATATTGGGAGAGATTAATTTGCAAACAGGTACATGTAGACTAACATGGTCTTTTAAGCAATGTAACAGTTTAAAAATTTTACAATAGCTTATAGCAGTACTGACTGCCAGGATGAAAATAGAAAACATACGATCTGTAAATTGAAATGGTAATAAAAAGTCACATTTTAGCATTCACATTAGTTCACAATGAATTCAGTTTTCTCAGGTGCTGTAAAGGGCCATACTGACTTAAATCTATTTTAAATGAGAAAAAGTTGATTTTTTTTTTAATAACAGAATATACTATCAATATAATCAATATAACCATAGGCAGAGACAACTTACAGTTGGAGGCTCGTACTGACCAGACAAGTCATATCTCAGACTGACAAGTGCACTGTTTCACTAGAGAAACAGCAGAGAGATTCCAGGAGCACCCGTGCACTCCTCCTAGCTGACCCTACACCTGGCTGGTGAGATGAGCAAGCACTGCTGGGCTTGCAGGGCAGACCCTCCTGCTGAAGGGGAGCGGAGGGACATGGACAAAGGAGGCGCAAGGTCCGACTGTCTCTCACCACTCACTCCTGCAGCACCACTGGCACCTGAATGCCTGTAAACAGCACTGCTGTTTCTGCGTCAATGACTGCTGTCTTTGTGGCCCTCTGACAGACACTAAGAGCTGGTCACTCCTGGGTTCTGTGGCAGCAGAGATCATCAAAAACTGCATTGTGTCCTATGTCATAAAACATGCTGTTGTCATGGCTCCAGCTGGGACCTCCAGGAATGGTGTACCCTCATCCTCTTGCACTGCTGTGGTTTATTGACATCATGGGCCTTTCACTCCCTGCTCCATGGAGACCAAGTCAGTCCTGGTCAGAGGAGCTGCTGACTAAGTCACCTCCTCAGCTAAGGAGTACATGGACCAGAAGGGCTTTTCCTCTGTCCTATTCTAGCTCTCATGACTGTATATGGGGGTGAGGACTACCTCCTCTGCAGCTGGGGTATGCTAAGGTAGTGATACGTTACTTACCAGTAAAACTAATCTACCAGGAGTACGAGTTACCAG